TGAGTGTCAAATGAGAGTTTGGGATATTTGGTTACCTGTTTTCATAGTCTAAATGCAGCTAACACAACTCTGTATGTCCTCACCTTTACCTTCCTGAAAAATCACAAAAATGCCTAAACACATAATATTACATTTTATTTCAGAAGTCCTCATTTCTACTCTTCGACCGTGCGACGGCACCTCAGCTTCCTGATTGTGAGGGCTGCAAGGATTGTCGTTCTTCTGATCCTCACTTTTCTTCACAGAGGTCCCTTCGAGACACTCTGGCTATGACACGTAGGTAGGTGGTCAGGCTTTATTATGGCCGTCAAAACACCTACTTACTGATATCTGTTGTTACTTTCAACTAATATCTCCTCGTATTATTCCTCACTCCGACTGAGTTACTCGCTTTAATCGGATCTTGCAAGGATTTTCAGAATCTGGAATAGCTTGCCAAGAATCTGCCGCTGGTTTAACCGCAGAATGATGAATCCACGGAGTCACTTCTGCCACCTTTACAGCTGTTGGAGTAGATAAAAGAACAACATAAGGACCCCTCCACTTTGGACCTTATGGAACAATATTCCATTCTTTTATCCACACTTGATCTCCCAGTTGATAGGAATGAACAGGTGGAAATATGTTCACAGGTAACCTTTCTTGCACCCACTTCTGTACTTCCTCCATAGTTTTACCCAACTCTACAACCTGCTGCCGAGTAATTCCTTCACCCAACTGATTCAAGTCCCCCCTTAGATTACTGAGTATGGGAGGTGGATGCCCATACACAATTTCAAAGGGAGACAGACCCATTCTTCTGGTAGCAGTACTACGTATCCACAAAGGAGCTATTGGGAAAAGTACATTCCACTTGAGCTGAGTTTCCTGACATGTTTTAGCCAATTAGGTTTCTTTGTTCTGTTCATCCTTTCCACCTTTCTAGAACTCTGAGGTCTATATGCTGTATGAAGTTTCCACTTAATACCAAGCACATGAGTCAATTGTTGTAAACACTGATGGATAAAGGCTGGACCATTGTCTGATCCCATAGAACACGGAAGTCCATATCTGGGTATAACTTCTCGCAACAGAAATCGTACAACTTCTCTTGCCTTTTCTGTATGAGTTGATCAAGCTTCTACCCAACCTGAGTAGGTACACACAGCTACCAACAAGTAACGATATCCCCCAGATTTAGGCATTACAGTGTAGTCTATTTGCAAATCTGACATTGGGAGTCCTCCCATATATTGAACTCCAGGGGGTTTGACAGGGCCTTGTCTTGCATTGTTTCGAGCACACAAAACACATCTTCGAACAATAGCTTGAGTAAGATTGGATAATCTTGGTATGTAGAAATGTTTCCTGAGAGATTCTTCCATACTATCTCTTCCTGAATGTGTACCATTATGGAAGTTCTGAACAATCTCTATAGCCAGAGATGTCGGAATAACTCTTCTTCCATCTTCTAACTGATACAAATTATTCTCCAAGTATTTCCCAGCTTCAGTCCTCAACCACTCCATCTCTTGGGTTGTATATATCGGAGTCCATTGAGACAGAGGTGCCGGCACAAGGGCAGCAACATACCCCACATATTCCTCTTGCCCGGATTCAGCGGCATGTTTTGCTGCACTATCGGCCATGCGATTTCCTTTTACTACATCACTATCACCTTTCAGATGTGCCCTGCAATGTATAATACCGACTTCCTTCAGTTCCCATACTGCCTCTAACAGTATTTCTGCTGCATACTTGATTTCTTTCCCTTCTGAATTCAACAATCCCCTTTCTTTATACAATGCTCCATGGGCATGGGTGGTTAGAAAAGCGTATTTCGAATCTGTGTAAATATTCACTCTCAACCCTTCAGCTAATTGCAAGGCCCCTGTTAATGCAATCAGTTCTGTCTTCTGTGCTGATGTCCCTTTCGACAGTGGCCGTGCTTCTATCACCTTGTCTATGGTTGTTACCGCATGTAACGGACCGTTTTGCACACAAGGGATAAAAACCGTTTAAGCGATCGTCCCCCTTTTCAGAGATGCAGGCAGAGCTATTGTAGAACACCAAACTCATGAACCGCCAATAAGGGAATGCTCCAAACTCCCGAACGGCATCCAATATAGCACTCCAAACACACGAACTGGAACCATATGAATCGCTGCTAGCAGATGAATAGGAAAAGCATCCAAGCGGCTTACACTCCTAGCAGTCAGTCTCTATGAGCATTCAGTAAATCCCCCCAAAGACGAGACAAGGCTCGGTGTTGAGGGTCAAGCAGTGGTCTGTTTAATGAGGGCTACCTGCCCAGTATTTATGCAGGTTTCCCACCTGGTGGACACTACCCTAGGGGACCAAATGGGAGACTGTGACAAAAGACAGACAATCTGCCAAACAGGACACACAGTCACATTTTATTCCCACAATGCATCCTGGCTTCCTCCCCTCTGCCTTGGAGATAATTGAGAAGTAATTCAATTATCTCCCAAGACAAAGGCAAATCGCCATTATGCACGTGGGGATACTAACACAGGAATTACTACTAAAATACACTATGTGATACACATAACATTAAAAGCATACATTTAACATATCCCCAGATAGCTCAGGTCTGAGCGCACATTATTAAGCGAATGGTGCTCAGACCACACGAATACAGTTTAATCGCCATGGAGCTAAAGTCTTTACACAGTCAGTTTCATGCGAATGAGCTCCATGGGATTTCTATCTGGGGTATAACACATACAACAAAAGTACTGAACACCGGGCCGTTCGTGCACTTTCACTGAACAAGAAGGGAGGTCGGCGGCTTCAGCGGTGTTCGCGCAAAACTGTGTCCAATTTCTGTTCCATGAATTAAGCGTCGAACACCGCTGTGCATTCGCATGTTTAAAATGGCCGCGACCTCGTTTTCGTGATACGAATGACGGCCACCCAGCATTCTTCAATTAAGCTGCGGTTAACCGCAGCTTCAGGGAGGCTAATTGCCAGCACACTCCAGCTCCCAGGTGGTCCAGTCATTCGTGCGGTTGTTCGGTAGATTGAATCTACCGAACACCAGGCAGAAAAGAATGAATAAATCTTTTCTGCAGGTAAAAAGATGTCTTTTAACAGGGGGCCATAGTCCACATACCCTGCATAACGTATACCTTCTTTCGCATAATTACTACCATCCGTATAATACTGTATGTGCGGATTCAGGATGGGGAAATCATGAAGATCAGGCCTGCTTGAAAACACTTCATCCATTATTTCCAAATAATCATGTTGACTTTCAGTAGTCTGGGGCAGAAGGGAAGCTGGATTCAAATTATTGACAGTTTCGAGGTGTACTCTTGGATTTTCACATAACATAGCTTGATATTTGGTCATTCGACTGTTGCTAAACCAATGATTTCCTTTGTAATCCAATAGGGTCTGTACTGCATGGGGTACTCGCACATAGAGTTCCTGACTCAATGTGAGCTTGTCAGCTTCTGCTACCAATAGGGCAGCGGTGGCCACTGCTCGCAGACAAGGTGGAAGACCACTGGCCACTGCATCCAACTGTTTGGACATATAAGCTACAGGTCTTTGCCATGATCCCAAATACTGAGTTAATACTCCCACAGCCATTCTTCTTTGCTCATGTACGTACAGATAGAAAGGACGCGTGTGATCTGGTAGACCTTGGGCTGGGGCACTCATAAGAGCTTTCTTAACATCCTCAAATGCCTTCTGTTGTTCAGAGGTCCACAAAAAGGGGTCATATTCTGTGCCTTTCACAGCTTCATATAGAGGTTTCGCCAGTATCGCATAATTAGGAATCCATATCCTAAAGAATCCTGCTGCTCCTGAGAATTCTCGCGCTTGTCTTCTATTCTTAGGTATAGATATCCGACACACTGCTTCTTTTCTTTCAGGTTCCATTATTCTTTGACCTTCGGAAATATGGAATCCTAAATATTTAACAGTTGACTGGCACAATTGCACTTTCTTCCTTGATACCTTGTATCCTGCTCTCCATACAATGTGAAGCAAATCATAAGTTGCTTGTTAGCATATCTCTTTAGTAACAGCCGCTATCAAAAGATCATCCAGGTATTGAAGCAATACACATTCTCCTGGGATGGACTTGAAATCTTGCAAATCCTGACTTAATGCAGATCCATATAGGGTAGGTGAATTCTTGAACCCTTGAGGTAGTCTGGTCCAGGTCATCTGACGCTTTGAACCTGTAACAGCATTTTCCCATTGGAAAGCAAAGATACACTGACTCTCAGCAGCAATCTGAAGGCAAAAGAAAGCATCGTTAAGGTCTAGAACTGTGAAGTAGGTTGCCCCACCTGGTATCAAAGCAAGCAGATTATAAGGGTTGGGTACAACTGGGTGTACATTGACTACTGCATCATTAACTGCTCTCAAATCTTGTACAGGACGATATTCATCTGATCCTGGTTTCTGAACAGGTAATAATGGAGTGTTCCGGGGGAAGTACAGAATTTTAGGATGCCATACCTTCCGAACTTATCCAAGTAGGTCTGTATGTTTTTCTTAGCCTTTTGAGGTATATGATACTGACGAAGGCTCACAGGATAGGCCCCAAGCTTTAGTTCAATATGTATAGGTGGAATATTACAAGCAAGCCCAGGTGGATTATTCTCTGCCCATACTCCTGGAATGTCAAAAAAAAGGTTCATCACTCTTAGGGTTTACACTTGTCATTATGGAGTATAAGTGCCTGGTAATCCATTAATCCTCAGAGACGTTGATCCATTGGGTAGAAAAGTTATCTGGGCTTGAAGCTTCGATAATAGATCTCATCCTAGAAGTTGAATCAGACACTCTGGCATATATAGGAACTGGTGCTTCACCAAATGGCCTCCCAGAATGCAAGTGCGAGTTTTAAGAACTGGTCTAGCTGCGCTTCTCCCAGTAGCTCCTATCACAGTAGTAGTTTTTCCTGAAGGCGGAGCCACCAGTTTAGTCACCACGGAATGTTCAGCACCAGTGTCAAACATGAAAGAACTTCTCTTTCCCCCTATTGCTACATCGACCATAGGCTCCGCTCGGCCAAAGGAGATGGAGCCCGGTCGGTATCAATAGTCTTCCATGATAGTGTCAGCCAGACCCACAAAATTTCTATCCTCTCTATCTCTTGGTCTCTGAGTAGGTGGATAATATCTATCTCCTTGAACACTCCCTCTACTATTCCCACCGTTCCCTCCAAAACTTCCTCTATAACTACCACTATAACCTCCCTGTACTCTTCTCTCTCCTTGTCTATTATTTTCATAATGCTCTCTCTGTGGACACTCATTCTTCCAATGTCCTTCCTCTCTACAAAACGCACATTGATTCCTACTAAAAGGTCCCTTACTCAGCCTATTCTCGACTCCTTTATTCACCTCCCTTCCCTGTCTTTCTTCACTTGTGATAGCTACCGCTAGCATATCTGCCTTCTTCCTCATTTTACGTTCTTCCTCCCGCTTTATCTCAGTTTCCCTATTCATATATACTTTATTTGCGATCTCCATTAGCTGTGATATGGACATCCCTACAAATCCCTCTAACTTTTGCAATTTTCTTTTAATATTACCTTGGGCCTGGCTGACAAATGCTGAGTTAATCATTCGAAAATTCTCAGGGGCCTCTGGATTAAGAGGAGTATACAATCTATATGACTCCAATAATCTTTCATAAAAGGCACTAGGTGACTCATCAACCTTTTGCAACACCTCAGCCGTCTTTGACATATTGATTGCCTTCTTCCCTCCTGTCTTCATACCAGCAATAATGGCTTCCCGATAAGCCCTTAATTGGGGCATGTCAGCACCATTCACATTCCAATTTGGGTCAACATTTGGATAATGGGCTGCAGCCCATGCAGCTGAATTGGCCTGATTTTGATTACGGGCCGTTTCCTCAAGCGCTTCAATAGCCGCTTGATTAATCCGGGTCCTTTCCTCACAATTAAATAAAGTTAATAATAATTGCTGGCAATCGGCCCAAGTGGGATTGTGTGTTTGTATAATAGAGGTAACCAAATCTGTCATGACTTGAGGTTTGTCGGTATACGAAGAGTTATGAGTCTTCCAATTGAATAGATCAGTTGTGGTGAAGGGGACATAGACAAACACTGGATCTGCCTGTTGTATTTGGCCATTTTCGTCAACGTGTGTTGGGCCTGGTGTAAGTCGAGAGGGGCATTTGGTAATGTTGGGGTTGAAGGGTACCAGTCATCTATCGGGTTAATATAGGATTTCAGCAAGGCTGTTTTATAGTAAGTTCCGGTCTAGGGGTAGTAAGGTAAGGAGAATGAGGCGGGTTAATTTTACCGGTCGGAAGTTCAGTCAACAGGATAATGCGGGCCGGGCTGGGAGGAGCCTGACCAGGAACCAGAAGTGACATTAATTCTGGATATATAGAACAGCCTTGCTGAAATCCTATATTAACCCGATAGAAGACTACCACGTGGAGGCTATGCGGTCACCAAGACAGGCCACTCTCTACTAAATAATGTAGTCAAACGCTTTGGGGATAATTTCACCCCCAAATCACAAACTTTATATCCCTTTGCAAAGTTGTTCAACATACACTACAAGGGATCAACAATCTTTGAGTCAGACGCACCCATACTGGCAACGGAGCGTCTAATACAAAGAAACAAAATACCCCAAACACACTTCCAACGATCACACTTGTTTCCCTGGCAACAGCACCACGTGGCACAGTTGCTAGGCCAAACACACACACACGTAAATACGCAGAGAATTCTCGTACATACAGTAATATCACAACATCTCACTCACAAAGATTTACCAAACACTAGATACTTATCTCTGTAACTATAAATCAAACCCTACAATTATCCACATTCTAAATCAACTTTTAACTAACCGACTATATCACATTCTACTAACCTCATCTTTACAATCAGTGGTTATGGTACAGTTAGCAAGTGGTTATAATACAGTTTTAAAGTCACAGATCAGTTAGTAACAGTTATGGTGTTACACATATAACATAAGACAACAGTTTTAATTAATTTTTACACAACGTCAGTAGTTATAGTACATGTTAATGGTTATAATACCGTACACTATTATACAGTATACACACAATTTACACTCCCACTAGACGGCAGAGCTCAAGCTTTCTAGCAGGACATACAATTCACCAACTACAGTATATTTAACATTTACAATAATCCCAACTATTCTAATTGGCCAGCACCTCGAGAACTATCGAACTATTTACACCAGGATTCGGTTAGTCTAAGCTGCCCAAGCACCACATATAGCGAACTAGTGGGCGGAATTTACAACAGTACCCATTTAGTCTATCTACTCTATCAATAGTCTAGTGGCTGAATTTACAACAGGGCACACTTAGCCAAGATAGGTTGAGAACTAGCAGACGGAATGTACACCAAAATCTGCTTAGTCTCGCCGGCCTCCCCGACCTAGCGACTGAAATTTACACCTAGACACGCTAGTCAAGACAGGACACAGGTGTCCGGCATAAACTATTTACACCAAGATTTAGCCTGACCCAAACCACCTATATTAGACGGGCTGACTACAGAGCGTCTAATTTCCAGATAAGCGGTGCGCCTTTGCTTCTTCCCTCCAGAGGGAGGGGGCAATCCAATAACCGGTTTCCAAATATAAAACGCCTTGTGGACCTACCACTCTAACGGTATCAGTCTTACCTCTTCGTTCCTGAACCTGGGCTCACACTCATCGATGGGGCACCCCGGTACTTACTACGTAAAGGCCGATGATCTCCTGGGCGAAGGAGCCCAGTGGCGCCGAGATGAAGGGATGTCCACGCAGAAGATCAGGGGTGCTGCCGTAGAGAACATTGGAAAAAAGTTTACCGTCTCAAATCTCTGCGCCAGCTTCCGTGCGATGAGGTTCCCGGACCCAAAGCACCAAAGATGTAACCGAGTAAACTTGCAGAAGCCAGACACAGAAAGATGGATGCAGGTTTTCAGGAAGTAAGGTCTTTATTAACATAACAATCGGGTCTCAGATGAACTAACATTCCAAAACAGGTCTGAGGGCCGAACACATGGAGTACATGCTTTTTATAGAACTATAACTCCTCCCATTAATAGCTCCACCCGCACATACCCTTAACCAATCGGTGGACAGGATCTGTATTTCCTTATATGGGCAGTCCACATGGCTCATTCGAAACAAAGGAGAAAGGAGTGTGATTTCAGTTCCTGCATTCCTGCACATGCTCAGTACATTGATGTCAGTATCTTAGCTACGTGTAACTAACTAACTGATACAACATACACATATCTCGGCCTACTAAATTTACATTTCACCAAAATTCCATCACAATAACTAGGGGCCAGGGCGCTTTTAAAATTTGTATTCTTCTTGAAAATTATTACATAGTTACATAGTTACATAGCTGAAAAGAGACTTGCGTCCATCAAGTTCAGCCTACCTCAAATTAGTTTTTTGCTGTTGATCCAAAAGAAGGCAAAAAAAACCCAGTTTGAAGCACAATTTTGCAACAAGCTAGGAAAAAAATTCCTTCTTGACCCTAGAATGGCAGTCAGATTTATCCTTGGATCAAGCAGTTATTACCCTACATTGAAAGCACTCCAAGTGATCTGTAAATAATAATACCAAGTACCACGGAGTACCAAGGAGCCCGACATCCTCCTGTGAGACTTGCATGCAGGCTCTCTTCTGGCTGCAACATGCGGCTGCGTGAACACCTGCTCCTGGCCTGCAGCAGGAGGATCCGCCACCGCAGGCCATTGTGTCTGACACAAACCCTCTGGTCCAGTGCCTGGCTCACCGCCCCTCGCCCTCCCGGCAGCCGTCGATGGGCTCCTCCTGCGGCGATGAGCTGGCACCTCACTGGGACTTAGTCTCCACTCCTCTCCTGCAGCCATGCAAAACCACGATCTCTCATGACAGCATGCACTCCAGCCTGGAACTCTTCAATCAAATCCATCTGGAAAACAAAACAGAAAACCCACACAAGCCTGACAGACAACTAACAGGTAAGTGCAGATTTGCTTAAGATGGCCACTACTCAAGATGGTGTTATATATGACAGGCCTAAAGCCCCGCCCCCTCCATTAACCTTCCCACTTAACTCTTCCCATGCCTAACTGCTGGCCCTGTCAAGGCCCATTCCCCTGCTAGGCTGTTCCATGGACTATAAACCTTTACCGTTTCTGCCACTAGCCAGGGTTTGGGTGATACTTTTGTATGTTTTACGCAATGTAACACATGCTAGGGTTTCAAAACAGAATACACTTTTACATAAATCAATACTATAAAAACCAAAGAAAAAAGTTACCCGAGCTCTTCCCAAATCCCTATGCATATTTAAACAAATGGAGGTTGTGACGGACCCGCTGGCACTCCAACCGAGTACCTCCGTCAATCGATGCTCCTAGTGCTTGCCGAGGACTCCAAGCACTCCAACCGACACCATCAGCACTGCAGACTTATCCCATCCCCCAAGCATGAGCCAAGGCTTCAAGAAATGGTCAAGCAGGTCTGTTTAATGAGCACACAAAAGCAACAGCACTCATGCAGCAAAACAACTCCTCCTCAGAGGAAAACAAAATGACAGTTAAAGACAGACAGTGTTTGAAAATATGACAGTTATTAAGGGTTTAAACTGGTGTTCTAAGGGAGGGGGGAACAAAACAGTCAAACTAAGTCCATAAAACAGGGGTATCTTCACAGTCTGCATCCGAAGTGCATAGCAAAACTGCAGATCCTTTGTCAGAGCATTGAAAGGGCCAGAACCAGTCTAATAAAATCCAAGATGCCTAAATAACGTATTTAAAGGGCAAAATCTTCCAGGGGCCATAGTCGCAGGGCAGGAGGCTGGCAATTAGTCCTCTCCAGGCACAAGTGGCGAAGGGCACTTCGTCACAGAGGTGATTTAGTTTCTCCAATGGTCATGAGAGAGTTTAGCCCACCTGCCACGTCAAGGCAAACCTTTCCTGAGAGGTGGGCTAAACTCTCTCATGGCCATAGGAGAAACTAAATAAGATTCATTTGTTTAAATATGCATAAGGATTTGTAATCGTGCGGGTAACTTTTTTCTTTGTTTTTTACTGTATGTATTGGGGGCTGATGTGTACTATGGTCGTTGCTGCTGCCCAGGAGTAATGGGAGTTTGAGCGCAGGACTTGCTTTTTTGTATTTATAAATCAATACTAGTATAATAATTATTAACTCATAGATGATAACTTTTATTTAACCAGGGAAGGAGCAGATCCAAAACAATTTTGCCATTTGTACCCACAAATTTAGAGCATCCTGGTTGGTCAAGATGGCTATCCTTTACTTCATAAATATGAAATGCCATGTGTGTAATTAGTGGATTTGCATAAAGTATACTATTTAATGCCATATCATGACCACTTTAAAGGGATATATTGCTTAAAAATCAATCTACCTGTATTAGATTTTCTAGATTTGTCAACAGATAGGTTTTGGTGTTGGATATAATTTTGGGAACATTTGTCAGACAGGAATAAGATAAGAGACCACATTCTGTAGAGCTTTGAAAAAATGAGTAATTTCTGGGGAAACACGGAAAAGAGGGGTAGCCAGGATTAAGTGCTTGTGCCAGTAGGACTTGATACTTGGCTTTTTAACAATATGCATTACTAGGGTTAATGCCCCAAATGTTCTAATTTCTGAGACATCAGTTGGGTGCCAGATATTTTTCCTGTTGTAGTGTGACCCCAGATTCGCAGACACTAGCAGAGTTATTTAATAAGGTAAGGAATAGGGAATCCAAAGTAAATTTCATATGTAAGGCCAAAATAGTTGAACTGGAAAAATTGCAATTTGCAGCTTGGTTACTTTGTCCTTAATATTGAAATTAACTAACAATTGACAATAGTTCTCCCTTTTGCAAAAAAAAAAAAACCAAACATCCTAGTGTGTCCCCGTTGCTTCTCTCTGAGCAGAATTGGAGTCAATGCTTCTCACAGAGAATATTGGTGGATCACAGTAAATGGTAAAGGTATAAAGTAACAAATGAGACAATCTGAATATATTTATACTTTTTGTTAGGCTGTTTCTTCATTGAACTCTGTTAAAGTACTGTTTACTGGAAGGCAGAAACAGTTTTTTTGTTTTTTTTAAATCTACTAAGATATTACCTCATACTCAGGTGTGGAATTATGGTGGGGACAGGTTGTTCTTGGCTCATATCCTCATTCCAAGGTTATTTTTTCAGGGAGAAAATATTTACATTTTGTTGTGTGGAGTTAGGCAGAAACATATGATAAGTATCTGAAGTACAAGCAGTAACAATTCTGAGAATGATACTTTCAGTTCCCTCAGAACCTCTTTAATTTAGGTTTCCTAGCTGTGATTTTTTTTTACATTCTTTATTTTTGTAGTGCAAAGCATAACAAACTAGATTGTTTAGACAATTCACAAGTAATAGTGTGGATAACAATAGAAAGGTATGGATATATCATGAAATATCTTGAATACTGTACTTTTGATATAGTAAGGGAGAAAAGACAGCAGAAGCACAATCTATGTGATTTAGCAGAGAAGAAAAAAAATAGTAATGTAAAATAGAACTGTGAATGGTGTCAGTAGGTACAGTAAGGGAAAAAAGTATTTGATCCCCGGCTGACTTTGAAAGTTTGCCCATTGACAAAGAAATGACCAGTCTATGGTAGGTGTATTTTCATATTCTCTTTTCTTTGATATAACCAAAATGTCAAAACATAAATAACCATAACTTAACATATAACTTGACACATAGTGTCATACAGTGTAACCCAACCGTCCTTGCCAATAAACTTGTACCACTTCCTTTCACCTCCCCCCTTGACTTAAACTCCTTTTCCTTCCAATGTTTACCACCAGCCGACCTTTTCCTCGCTTGTTGGGCACGACATAACAGGTAACCTAAGGTTAACCCATTAGAGCAGGGGAGGTTGAGACCTGAAAACTTGCTCACTACATTCCACATAATTAACCTAACCACCTCAAACTTAATTGGCAAGGACATACCCCCAGCCACAACCCCGCTGTTTTACGCCTAAAATCATGGGGGACCCCACCAAGACCACCCATGGCCTGTTCCACAGCTTCCTGCAGAGCGAGATTAAAGAGGTCGAGCCTGACCTCTGTCAAGTGCACCCCATCCCTTCGAAATAGATTGGCTGCATCCCGCTCAAAAACCCTATGGCGAACCGGAATCCCCCGAACCCCCAATAAAAACCTAGAAACCCTCCTATTCAATTTTCGGCAGCAGCACTCCATGGCACTCTGTTTCCGAGCGCGCTGCCAGAAATTAGGAGCAATTACCTCTGACCAAACCAGGTGTAAATCAGGAAATAGAACTAAAATGCGTGCCAAGTCACGTTTAATGGCCGACACCAAGTCCCATATAGGCACCGAACCCAGGTCATTCCCCCGCAGATGGATCACCAGGACACTCAAAACCCCCAGGAGGCGGGACAACTGAACTAAGTCAGGGAGGAGCCACACCCTCCTCATGCCTCTTGTACCAAACCACCGAATCTCCACTTCGGAAGGCTTAAACCCAACTACTTGCCTCCAGGCCGTCGCACGCTGCCTGGCCCAATAGACATAGGAGTGTCCCATGATCTAAATCCTGGGGGGAACCGGATCTGTGGAGAGAAATCAACTCGGGAGACAAGCCGGGCGAATATAAGAAATATGCCTGGCATGCCAAGTCTAGAGGCCTCAGTGGCCGCCCCTATACGAAATGAGTGCCCCCTGAACTCCCTGCTATCAATACCCAGAAATTTGAGCCCCAAGCGGAACAACATAATAAACTGAAAGTGAGAGAGAAAGCTACCGTCCTCATGCACCAAAAGGGGGTTGGCCGTAGAAGCTGGGCGTAAGGAACAATACTCACCGAAGGAAAAAACGGGACAAATGCCAGAACCCGGCACAGCCCCCAGTCGGACCCACTTACCCCTCCCAAAGACATCAGTCTTTGAGCGGCGAATCCTGAAGGAAATCTGATCCTCTGTGCAAGAAACATCACCAAACAGCACCCACCACACCTGTTGACTACTAAGACACACCAGCTCCCCAATCCACATGGCTCCAAAAAACACCAGGGAAAAAGCCAGCCGAAAGAGATGGGCCTCAAACTCAGAATGGCAAACCTTAGGTAAGGAATTGCACAGACTGGCCAATAGAGCACATGAGACAGGACACCTCTAGTCCGGTGAGGACACCCCCCGCCACAAACCCTTAAGGACATGGCGGACTATAAATGCTTTGGTAGCGTCTTCCCAACACCACAACTAGAACATCACAAAGGGGGACAACCCCGCAGCCTCCCACGCCCCTAAGAAACGTACCAGACCCTGCATTCGAGTCCCGAAAACCCCCAAGGGACTGCTCCAACCCGTCCCATTCCCTCCACAACTTATTATAGCGGGCCCATGTAGCCACTGAGACCAACCCATGGACCAACTCCATCAGTGCCAGACCTAGTGACCACACTAGGCATGGGACACCCTCCAATTCGGCCTGCGGAGCCACTGCCCGAAACACGTCCCACTGCGAACGAGAGCATCAGCCATTATATTGCAAACCCGCGGGATATGTACAGCCCTACAAGACACATTAAGACCCAAATAGCGCAGGACCAAGCGCTGCAGCAAGCGTACCACTGGGGGAGAAGAGGCAGTCAAATAATTAATAGCCTGCACCACCCCTAAATTGTCGCAATGGAAAACGACCCATCTGTCAGTGAGTCGGGGATCCCATACCTCCAAAGCCATGGGGAAGAGCTCCAGAAAAGCCAAGTTCCGCGTGAGCCCTGCTGCATGCCAGTCCTCTGGCCATGAGTCAGCACACCATTTCTAGCCCATATTGGTCCCAAAACCCACCGAGCCAGCCGCATTGGTAAACAGGTGGAGGTCAGCATTAGAGACCGCCGGGGCCTGCCAGTAAGTCCTACTGTTGTAAGAGGCCAAGAAGGAATGCCAGACAGGCAGGGCAGAGTAAGCCGAATATAGTGCTGAGGGCGAGCGACCCCAGACGTCACCGCCGTCAAACAACTGTTAGAGATATGCCTCATGGGCAAAATCCGACAAGCAAAATTCAGCTACCCTATGCCAATAATAGAAGAACCTTACAATTCCCAGCACAGGATGTGGGAACCACAACGGAGCATGAGAGAGAGACATGCTCCCCCCTCCTTCAACCCTCAGCGTTAGTGAGAGGAGTGTCGCCGGTGGAGAGCCGATTCCACGTCCGCCTTTGTCAGCAATGCCCCCTGGGCCCGCAGCCCGCACCATATGAACAGCCGCATCAAGGATGCATAGTAAACCCGGCAGAGACTTCCTTATCCAGGTTTTCCCGAACTACCTGAGGTTATTCCCACACAGACCGAAGGTTCCGAACCGAGAGTGAGGGAGGGCGCTCCGAGAAGGAGATCCAAAAAACCCTGCTCAAACCCCTCCAATAAGATCCATGCCACCTTACGATTCATAAAGGTTGAGCCACCGGTGCATCATGTTTACGACTACTGGAGTCATCGCCCTTAGCCACCATGTCCCCTTTTTAGCCAGTTTTGCCCTGCTTGAAACAGCGGGAGATGGGATGGGCACCACCGCAACCGGAGCAGTCGTGCTTAAACCGGCATGAGGACCCCCACTTACAGTGACGGTCGTTGAACTTCCAACAACAGCACGGCTTCTGGCTGGGTGCCGATGAGGAGGAGGAGGATGTGCAAACACCTGGGGCTGGACTGGTCATAATCGAGAGCCAGAAGTCTATATCCATCTGGTCCCAGGACAGCGAGGGATGCACTGCCAGCCGCTGACGAAACTGTTCGTCGTACCTCCACCAATCCAGCCCCCCATATGTGCGACATGGGTTCCATATAGTGTTCTGATAGCAGAACAACGTGGAGCACTTCTGGGGAGACTTCTCCCCCACGACGCTGGCCAAAATAGAAAATGCCCGAATCTAATTCCCAAATGTCTAGCGGTACTTTCCCCTATCCTTTTCGGACTCCTTACTGTCCTTTTCCACCACCGGAGGAGCTTCCTCCAATGGCAGGAGGAAAAATATTTCCTCAAACTCCTCTTTCCATATTATTTCCCTCATTTCCTGCTTCAAGTGCAAGCTCAGGCCAGACCAGCACTTGTAAGCCGCGTCACGCCCGAAACACCCACCTCGAGAGAAGCGTCGCCTGTGCTGGCAACAGCGCAGGACACCGCAGGAAAAGGGGGACCTGGGGGCGCTGAAGGCAATGGACTCCTACCCACCAAGGACAAGGACTGAACCGCAGGAGGGTGCTGGGCTGAGGACCAAACCGACGGAAGCTGACCATCCATAGAGTTTGTGACAGACCCATCCGTATAACCTAGAATTGCTGTGTTCGTCTGTTTTGCCGTTTGTATGAATTTCCCCATTCGTATGCCTTGTTTAAGGGAATGTATTTTTTTTGTCGAACGGAACTACCGAACGGACGGCCACCCAGAAGAGAAGTGTGCTGCTGGTCAACCTATTGATCCCAATTAGAACGTTGCGGTTAACCACAGACCCTTCTCATTAAAAACCGAATACAGGGTGGTCGTCATTCGTATGTCGACCACGAGGCAGCGGCCATTTTAACCATGTGAAAGACCAGCGGTGTTCGACGGTTATTTCATGGAACTAAAAATGGACACTTTTTCAACCGAACACCGCTGAAGCCATCGACCTCCCTTCTCAATCGACAGAAGTATGTGAACACCGGCCGTTCGAGAGGTTTAAAGGCACGAATGGACTTACCCCAGATAGCCTTCCCATGGAGTCAATCGCATACCGAAGAACTGTAATAGTCTTTGACTCCATGGCGATTGAACTGTGCATATGGGATCTGAGCGCTACTCGCCAATAATATGCACTCAGACATCTGGGGATGTGTTATACGAATGCAATACGTTCGGCAGTTATAAAGTTATGTATTTTAATGTGTTTTGTGACTTATATTTAAAATGGCGATTTGCCTCTGCTCTGGAAGATAATTGAATTACCTCTCAATTATCTCCCGAGCAGAGGGGAGGAAACTGTGATGCATGCTGGGAATATTGTGGGGTTGTATGTCTAAAATGTCCCTATGTCCTTCTGCTATTACAGTCTCCCATTTGGTCCCCTAGGGGAGTGTCCACCAAGTGGGAGACCTGCATAAATACGGGCAGGTAGCCCACAGTAAACTCAGTTCGTGTTTTACCCTCAAAGCGGAGCTTGGTCTTGTTATTGGGGGGATTTTATTACCGGCGACTAGAGACTGCTCATTGGAATTATTTGCCGCTTGGAAGATATTGGCGTTCGGCTAATATTGGCAATTCGTGTATTTGGAGCTCGTGAAGGGAAGGAGTCGTAAAGGTACCGGTCGGGAGTTTGGAGTGTTCCCTGGCTGGCGGTTCGCATGGTTATACTGCATACGCTACCAGACCACATTATTGCGAACGGGGAGCATTCACTAAACTGCGGTTTGTACATTTATTACTGGAGGTACTGTAACAGAGTTGTCCCCACTAACTGCCGCCCCCTGCTCCCACTGATCTACAAACCCACAAAGACCTGAGAGGAGCCCCCCAGCGTGGGACCTGAAGTACTAGAAGAGGAGGGAACACCACACTTACCCGTTGCAGCCTGGCGTTCCAACCTCGGCGCTGCAATCACAGAAGGTTGAGGCAAAGTGACAGGAATTCCAGCATCCACTGAGGACCTCACAGGTATTCCAGGTGCCACCTGCTGGTCAGCTCCCACGCCCCACAGGAGGTGGCCGAGGTGGTGACCAGCAGGGGGGAGAGGGGTCCAGTGAGAGTAGAGGGGGGGAGGACAGAGGGGACCCAGATAAGGCAGAGAGATGGCCAGGGGGGGGGGACAGAAAGAGGAGTGGGAAACCTGGCAGGGATGGGGAGAGGGGCAGAGGGACCGGAGTGAGAAGAAGAGAAACTAGTGGACACTTCCAGAGACCGGGGGGGGGAAGGAAACAGGAGGGGGGACAGGGGAGACAGACCCGTGGGAGCCTTCCTCACCAGCAGAGGAGGCTCCCGACACACTGGAGGACCCCCCCTCCAAGCCCAAACAGCAGTACAGCGGTACCCCGCGTGGCCCTCACGGGCTTACTCACCAAAGGGGCCATGGGCCCAGCCGTGGGAAGACCTGGAAAGCTGCTGGGTGGCTGCCCGCCGTTGGGAAGGTACTGTCCGCCGTCCACCGCCCCTGGCCTGTAATCCGCCGCCATGTAGGGGATGCCGTCCTGCAGTAGTAGGCCGCGTGTCTGGAGCCCCGCTGGTTAGGCTGTCCCCTGGCACTACTCCTTGGGCCCTGTTGAGGAGCAGGGGCCACAGGGGAGACCCCAGTAGGAGGTAGGCCACGGTGGGGGCCCACACCGGCAGCCATACCTGAGGTGAGGTGAGGCGAGCATATTGCTCACGGAATTGCCGGCCACCATCCAACGCTGCAGCAGCTCACCCACACATTCATGCACAACCAATCACACTCATCTATCCCCACACTCATACATGTGCCCTTGTCCGCTTAGCTGTGCTATCTGCCCAGGGCCTGAACATCTGGAATGCTTTGTAAATACTTTGCAATTAACCTCAAAACATCACAGATTCTTTGCTGAAGTTATATTACTCATGTGGCATATGGAATATGTCACTGTCATAAAGTGCACAAATAAGCCAATATACACACCGTACACCATCTGGATAAATCATCTAGTATGCACCAATGAGCTACAGAAACACCAGTTAAAGAGCCAGACCTCAGCATCCTCTTTAGCAGGTTATTTCATGGAAATAAGACTAAAATGGCACTTTGGTCTAAAGATTACTCAACTCCCTATAGAGAGAGCTTTGGACAATCTGCCAAGACAGCTACCTGCAACTTTGTCCATGCTGTAGATGAAGAAGACAAGACAAACTCTCCCATGATCTGCAACTGATTATCACTTTAATATTAGAATGCCATGACTGGCAGATCGATAACTGTTGAGAATATACAAAAAAGACAACATTCTATCCTTTAAGCATCAGTCAGACTGCCTTTTATGTGCATAGCAGATAGAACCAATTAAAGATGATCTATACATGTAAATTTCCTGCTGACCTTCATATAGATGAAATATCACATAAAGAGAATTATAGCTATTATATTGCTGCTGACGCAGGCTAAATTATTACAATTTGATTGCACATTCTAGATGCTAAATAATTGATTAGATTCCCAAAACTACCTAGATACAGAGGTATTTATGCATGCTACAGGGGGTAGAATAAAAAAAAAAAAAGAAGTAAATTCTTATATTCTACCTGAATTTATCAAGAGGGATAACTGTTCGACATCAAACCTTGTCACTAGTTACAAAATTATCATTAAAAAAAACAAAAAACATTTTTCTTAGCGTTATAACAAAATGAGACTTGTTCTGGTAAAAGCATAAGTGAATGCAATTAAATAATAAGAATGCTCATGTGAGCAAATTAAATTTCAATGGAAAATTTGAGGCAAAAATAGCTGATCTGGAAAAATTCTCCAACTCAAATTCACAACTGGGCTATTTTTGCCTTAATTTGTGTGTTCAGATTTAATGTGTACAAAAATCTGCCTATAACCCTGCCTATATTTATACAGCTGTAGAATGTTCTACAAACAAGTAATGGTACTCATGGAAATATACATAAAAATCAGTTGCACTTTAATTTTATGCAGCTCTGGAATTGGCTAGGTGTCATACAGCAAATCGAGACATGATTTTTGGGCGTATGCTGTGAGAGCAATAATCAGTGTTTACATTCCAGCACGCTAAGTCATTTTACTTAAACGACAGAGAGTTGCACAGCAGGAGCTGAAGTCCCATTCAGTATAGCATATGTATATAACATGGCTACAAGATATGATGGTATTTGTATTAGTTATTTATAAGAGCCAACATATTCTGCAGCGCTGTACAATAGGGCTAATAGACAGCATTGGAAGCCTTACAGCTACATAAGCTATTGATCAAAGCAATCAGAAATTGTATTGATACTGTCAATGTAAAGATACTAAACAGTTTTAGTCCTTCTCGATATGATGGCATACAACTGCTAAACTGTGTGCAGTAGAACATTACACAATTCAAGATGAATAAATCCTTCTATTTCTTTGATGGGCAAAGGTGAAAATTTACTTCAGACTTTGCCTTCAATGATGAACATCCCATTTAATGATGTTAAGTCATGGTTTGTGGGGGAAGACATGGGAATTTGTTTAGAAGTGATCACATACCCCGCCAAAAACAAAAAAACATGTAAGCATTTATTTATGAAGCCCATTGAGAAAGTGCAGCTTAGGGAATAGGGCCCTGACAGGAGGAGGGCTGGGGGCGTGAGCAATAGTGGGGATTGGTGGGTTAGTGTTTTTTGGGTTGGCTGATATAAAGGGTCAGCCATTTTGGATCCCTCATTCTAATTTCTTACCTTGCAGAGTTGGTGCACGCTTGTTGCTCTGATTGGGCCTGGTTAGCTTCTCTTTGTCTTTTAGGATGGCTGAGCGGTTGGTGGAGGATCTGCTGGTCTGCGTTCTGGAGGCTGCATGGAGCAGAAGGACGGAGTGGCTGCAGAAGTGGCTGGCGGCGGTGAGGCCAGCAACAGAGCAAGATGGCCGCGGAGCAGCCACCGCAACGCCTCAGCCCGGGGCTGGAGATGGGGGAGACTCCCACAGGATCAGCGGGCCTGGCTGGAGCTAGCCGCGAGTTGTCTCAACCGTGCGTGAGGCGGGCATCGTTGACTCCGCCCTCCGCGAAGGAACCCAGGCGGCGTGCTCACGAACCGCAACTACCATCACCCCAAGGCAGCACGACACCCGGTCCAACGGGTGCCGCGCTTGGAGAGCAGGCTCCCATGGGGGAGGCAGGCAGGGCCTGGGAGTTCCAGCGGCGATGGGGCCCCCTGGTGGTGATCTGCCTGGTGGGCAAGAAGAGAGTCCCAGGTCTGGATGGCTCCTGGTTCTTGAAGGGACAAGCAGCCCTCAGGGAAGTACTGGCCTTGGTGGGTTAGCAGCAGGTCCCTCCACCACAGGGGGCGCTGTTGGGAGTGGGAGCAGGCATTCTAGGGCTTTACCCAGGGGTGAGGCAGGCAGTGGGCCCCTCTGGTTTGGGGGGTGTCATTAACCACGAGCAGGGGCACCTGGCAGCCAGTGACAGGGGGTCCTTGGGAATGTCCGCCGGGGGGAACACGGCAGGCCTATTGCAGAAGGGGGACGCAGCAAGGAGTGAGCACAGAAAGACCGCAAAGCCCCCTGGGGTACTTGGGGGGGGTCTCCTGCTATGGCAGCATTCTCAGGTGTGGGAAGGGCTGTCCTGATTCAGATGAGTCTCCACGCCCAACCTCTCTGGCTCGCAATCCACAGAACGTTGATGACGATGATGCGGGGCATGTGCTGCGCCATGTGCAACAGTGTCCATGGGGGTGTGTTACCAGGGCTTCGGGTGGCGCTGTTCAGGTGTCCAGGAAGCAGATGGGCCACCGGACTCGCACCTTGGATGTTACAGCTGGCCACAGCGGGCAGGCGGACCACACTACTCACGCTTCACGGGACACGAGCCCTGGGGCCGGCGACGGTCGCACTTGGCCAGGCGTAGGTCTCGATGTAACAGGTTCCCTAAAACCGAGGCGCGGCAGGGAGGGAGTCCTTTGGCTGGCAGGGATGATGGCTCGTCAGAGTCGGGAAGAAGAGCGTCCAGGGGTGGCGGCTACATCTCTGGGTTAGCATCGGAGACCAGTGGCTCCTTTGGGGGGCATTCGGTTACAACCTCGTGGGGGGCACAGCCCAGGCCTAGTCACGTGCGCAGCCGTAGTCATAGCCCCAGAGGGAGGGCTAGCAGGGCTTCCAGGTCCCTGTACGACTGCCATGGCCGCGACTGCAGGTGGGGTGCCAGGGCTTCGGTCCGGCGATCCCTGGGAGGTAAGGCGAGGGTAAGTATGGAAAGTGCAATGTGACCAGGAATTCTCCTTCTTGTTCCAGGTCCTCCAGCCAGTACCCCCAAGGAGGCGTCCAGAATCAGAGGGTTCCCCCGGTTAGAGCGAATAGTTTGATCATTTCTCAAGGAGCAGCCCCAGGACCTTTGCAGGTGGAGGGCTTGGTCAGTGAGTCTACCAATGCACGTTCACTTGGCTTACTGTCCTCTTTACAACACCTTATTGACTCTTGGGGACAAGGAGGTACTCATAAGTCAGATGTGGGACAGGTGTGGGTGCCAGGAGGGACGGCGCGCGAGGGTGCTTGGTCGGTGGCTCTGGGCTCGGTAGGGATGGTAGTGAGGGTGCCCGGCGGGGGCTGGGGTTGGTAGGGATGGTAGCTGAGGGTGTCGGGGCGGTGGTGTCAGTCGACGCTGTGAGTGAACGGGCGGAGCTGGTGGGCGGCATTCCTGATGCGGTGCGGCAGAATGCTTATGTCTCGTTTGCAAGCCCCCTGGGTGTGCATCTTAAACAGGACATTAAGGAGGGAATATTGAAGGGTAAGTTTGTGGAGATTTTTGCCCTGTTGCCTCTGGAGGACTATATTGACCTCAAGGAAGAGGATAAAATAGATGCAAATAAGGAGGAGGAGGAGAAGAATAGGTATTGCAAGATACCAAAGTCCTTTGGGAATTGGCTGCGGGCATTTTGTCTCCTCGCCAGCATTATTGGTGAAAGGTCCACGGGGATTTGCTCTTCCTTGTTTTGCTACCTGGATGGGATCTGGGAGGCATATAGGACGAAATACGACGAGCAATTCTATCAGAGACTTGCGGCTAAACCTGGGATGCGGTGGGACCAAATGGACCTGCCTGTCATGGCGTACGTTAGTTTGGAGTCTGGTAGGCAGAGATTTGTGCTCACCCTTGCAGATAAACACAGCCCACGGTAACCAGAAAGGAAGCTACCTGGGCTGTGAATCTGTGCACGGGGGCTTAGGCAGGAACAGTAATCGGGTACAAGGAAACAGACAAGGGCGAATACAGAAGAGTAGTCAGACACGGTTCCAAAGGTCAGGGCAGGCAGTGAACAGGCAATAACGAAGATCCAGAAGCAGGGGTCACAAGCCAAGTCAGTCTTTAAGCAACAGAAAACATGAAACAACGAACTGACAATGTTCTAAGGAAGGGGCAGTGTTTTATGCCCAGCTAATGAGTGATCTGCCTCAGGTGAACTTAGATGGACAGGTAGGAGCCACTGGTGAAGTCCAGCCCCCTAGTGCTGCAAGCAATGCCAGGAAAACAAGGTTAGAACCAAAGTCCAGAAGTGTCTCAGAGGCAGGAACTCAGGCTTAGGATGCAGAAGACCCTAGGTTCAAATCCCCTGTTGAGCACATATGGGGTGACCACGTCTGGATGTCACAGTGAGAACCGTGACAGTACCCCCCCTTTAAGAACGCCCTCCGGGTGTGAACAGGCTCTTTGTAGTGGTAGTATTCCTCACTGACAGAGTCCCCATCCATGGAATAACATCCCTCGATTTTAGTCCCCAGAGAGGGGTTCCTTCACGGTAAGGAGCCCCATAGTACCAGCTTCTGGTACCGCTGGAGAGTCGTCATTGTCTTTGAAGATCCGGATGCAGGTGGTAAGTATTTTGATTCCAGAAGGCACATCCTCTGAACTTTTCACTTTGGGTACATCAACAGGAATGGAGTTTGTGGCTTGCAGGGGTGGGAACAGAGTCCACCGGTGTTTTCAGAAGGGAAAAGGGGGGTCTGGCAGTGGTGCAGCCCTGCTACTCCAGGGCAGAACCCCAGTGAGCCTTGCCGCGATGCAGCTGTGGCTAAGCCTCTATGGTAATAGGGAGGATACGGAGTTACTGAGCGCGGGTTTCCAGGAAGGTTTCGTCATCCCATTCCGGAACATGAAGGCTACATGGAGTTATTGTAATCTGAAGTCAGTGGGAGGTTTTCTGGACGTGGTTCAGGAAAAACTGTTTAAGGAGGTCCAGCTGTGTAGGATGGGGGGACCATTTGATGTCGCCCCGTTGTCCAACCGGTGGCTGTTGCCTTTGGGGGTGGTCCCCAAAAAGGAGGCTGGGAAGTACTGCCTTATCCATCACTTATCTCACCCTAAGGGGGCGTCCGTCAACGATGACGATGACATTGCTAGGGAGCAATGCTCGGTCTCTTACACATCATTTGACCAGGCGGTAGAGTTGGTTAAGAGGGCCGAGCGGGGGGCATTGTTGGCCAAGGTGGATATCGCGGCAGTGTTTCGGTTGTTACCCGTTCACCCGGCGAGCCATCACCTGCTGGGTTGCTTCTTCAAGGGGCGGTTCCTTGTTTACCTTTGTCATGGGTAGTTCCATTTCTTGCTCGTACTTTGAAAAGTTCAGCTCATTTCTGAAATGGGTGGTGAAGCGGGAATCCAGGAGTCGGGCGGTGGTGCACTACCTGAACGATTTATTTTGTGTGGGCCTGGCAGATTTCCCAACTTGCAGCTACTTACTGAGGACAATCGAGTGGGTGGCTATCATGTTTGGAGTGCAGAGGAAAAAACAGAGGGCCCGACGACATGTTTAAGCTTCCTCAGGCTGGAAATTGACTCCTAGCAGGGGGAGTACTGTCTTCCCATAGCAAAACTCATGGGGCTTCGAGAGGCAGTGGCGGCGGTCACGGAAGGTCACATTGAAGGAGCTGCAGTCACTTGTTGGGAAGCTCAATTTCGCTTGTCGTGTCGTTCCGATGGGGTGGATATTCAGTCAGAGCCTTTCCAGGGCTACGGCGGGGATGCGACTGCCACACCACTTCGTGCGGGTGTCCTCATCCATGAGGGCTGACCTGGAAGTATGGGACACTTTCTTGGAGCACTTCAGTGGCACGGTGTTCTTTCAGCGGGAGGCGGTGTTGCAGCTGAGCTGCAGCCGTATACAGATGCCTCGGGCAACATGGGTTTTGGGGCGTACTTCGGGGAGGATGGTGCATGGCGCCCTGGCCTGCAGCCTGGCTGGCTTGTCCACTGGCGCGGAATCTGGCTTTCCTGTAACTGTTCCCATTGGTGGTCGCCTTGTCACTTTGGGGTGCACTCCTGAGCGATAGGAAGGTGGTGTTCTATATGGATAATATGGCTGTGGTGTATGTGGTAAATAATATGCCGGCCGCTTTGGTTCCAGTGGTGCAAAGTTTGTTTTGCTCTGCATGTCCCTCAATGTGGTGTTCTGCGCGCGACACATACCAGGGTATTTGAATGTGGTGGCTGATGCTCTGTCTCATTTGCAGTGGTCCCAATTTCGAAAGGAGGCGCGGGACATGGCAGGTAGCGCAGGGCTGGATTCCTCCCCGGCGATAGGCACATGGCTGCTCTATCATTTTGGTTTAAGCTGCGGGGGTGGGTAGACTTTACTAAGAATTTTGTGATAAGACAAGCGATCAAAGGTTTTGCGGAAGGGGAACAAAACCCGGGAGGCCAGGAGACCGGTTTCCATTGCACTTTTTGAGAAGTTGATGTTTTTCCTACAGGACATCTGCTATGATGGTTACGAAGCATGTTTGTTTGCAGTGGCATTCTTGCTGGCCTTTTTCGGCACTTTCCAGATCAGAAGTTGGTCAGCGCTAACCGGGCGAGTCGGAGGGGATACTGCTCCCGGACGTTCGGGTGGAGGCCACGCAGGTGGTAATCTATCTTACCCGGTCTGATGTCAAGGGAAAAGGTGTCGATGTGGTGCTACATGCTTTTCTTGGATCCTCCTTGTGCCTGGTGGCTAGTACTACTAGATACTTGTCTCGGCGTTCTGACGCCTGGCGGCTCGTTCTTGGTGCATGTTGACGGTTCCTTACTTTCCCGATTTCAGTTTCTCAGGGTCTTTTGGATGGGGCTCAACAGGCTGGGACTCCAGCCGAGCCAGTTTGAGATGCACTCATTCAGGATAGCGGCCGCAACGGAGGCAAAGAGGTTAGGTTTGGGGGACGAGCTCCAGTCTAACGGTTCAGTTCCAGTCTAACGTTAGTCTTAACAAACTGGTGTGAAGACTGGCTTGGGGGTTGTGACGAGACCAATCTCACCACATTGCATTGGAGGAGCCTGGTTGCCCACCTGCTGCCTTTGGATTATGGACCGGCAGTTAAATGGTTAATTTTACTGTGCAGAAAGATTTATTCCTTCCTTTCTGCACAGCCGTTCGGTAGATTCTATCTACCGAACAAACAGACTTCTATCAGCCTCCCCAGAGCCGTGGGAAGTCGGCCGGCGCCGTTAATTGGCCACCCAGAAGCTGGCGTGTGCCCTCCATTTACCTCCCTGAAGCCGCGGTTAACCGCGGCTTAACGAGCGTGTGCCGGCAATTGACCACCCAGTAGCTGCGGTTAACTGCAGCTTAATTGACTGTTACTGGGTGGTCGCGGTTACACCTAGCCGCCACACGATGGCGATGTTCTGGAGCTCCCCGGGCAGCCAGCGCTTTTCTGCCCGGCTTTCCTACGCCAAATCTGGACACTGTGTCAGCTAAGCACCGCTGAGCCTCCAGCCCCTGGTTCTGATTCGTACCAATTTAATGAATGTATGTAGATTCGGTATTTTGTGTTGGGGAAATGTTTTAACCCAGATAGCTATGCCATGGAGCCTATTCGTGTAATTAAAGACTTTGGCTCCATGGCAATTAAACTGTATTCATGTGGTCTGAGTGCCATTCACCTAATAATGTGCACTCAGACCTGAGCTATCTGGGGATATGTTACATGTCTGTGTTTTATGTAGTAAATGTTACTTTATGTATTTTAAAGTATAATACTGGTTTTGTGTCCCCACATGTGTAATGGAGTTTTGCCTTTGTCTTGGGAGATAATTGAGTTACTTCTCAATTATCTCTCAGGGCAGAGGGGAGGAAGCCAGGATGCATTGTGGGAATATACTGTGACTGTGTGTCCTATTTGCATTGTCTGGGTCTCCTGTGACTGTGTGTCCTATTTGTCTACTTGTCTGTCCCCACAGTCTCCCATTTGGTCCCCTAGGGGAGTGTCCACCAGGTGGGAGACCTGCATAAATACTGGGCAGGTAGCCCTCATTAAACAGACCACTGCTTGACCCTCAACACGGAGCCTTGTCTCGTCTTTGGGGGATTTACTGTATGCTGCTAAGGACTGATTGCCAGGAGTGTAAGCCGCTTGGGAGCTTTTCCTGTTCGTCTGGTAGCAGCAATTCGTATGGTTCCTGTTCGTGTATTTGGAGTGCTATCTTATTCCCTTGTATGCCGTTCGGGAGTTTGGAGCATTCACTTGTATGCAGTTCGAGAGTTTGGAGCATTCACTTGTATGCAGTTCGAGTGTTTGGACCATTCCCTTGTATGCAGTTCGAGTGTTTGGAGCATTCCCTTGTATGCCGTTCGGGAGTTTGGAGCATTCACTTGTATTCAGTTCGTGAGTTTTGGTGATTCTACAGTAGCTGTGCCTGTCTCTGAAAGGGGATTATCGTCTAAGCAGTTTTTTTCCCTTTTTGTGCAAAACGGTCCGTTACAGGGGTCAGCTGGCCTAGGCTGACATGTTTCTCTTGTTCCCAAAGGTCAAGTGGCTTGGATCGTGAGTCATTTCTTCATATTCTGGGCCAAGAGGAGAGCTGCAGCTCATTTTCGAGGTCAGCAGCTGGGCTTACCTGAGGACCGGATGGCGTTTCTCTGGTTTAGCTACAGGGGCTACGTGTGGCAAGAGGTTTGCAGTGAGGTGTTCAGGATGGTAGCGGGGGGTAGGAGGACAGATCTGCTGGTCTTACACGCATTAGGTAATGACCTCAGGGCTTATCCTGCAGCGTCTCCTGGTTAAGCGGATGAAGCAGGATATTAATCGTATTAGGGCGAGGGTCCCTGGGGTGCAGCTGGACTGGTCAGAAATAGTTCCCTGGCTCCACTGGCGGCATGCTCAGGAGCTGCCAGCGGTTGGTCGTTGCCGAGCTAAAGTGAACGGATTGATGGTTAGCTTTGTCAAGAAGGTGGGAGGAGCAGTGGTCCGGCACGGGGAGCTTGAAGAGGAGCTTGAAGATGCGTTAGCTGGCTATTTCTCTCCTGATGGGGTCCATCTCTCAGATGTGGGATGGGACCTGTTTCATTTAGGATTGCAGGAAGGCTTGGCCAGGGCATTATTTCTGCGGGGTGGCTGAGCTCAGACGGCTTAAGGTTTCAAGGTCAGAGCTTGTGGCGGGGTGGGGTAAAGAACATTAAGGAAAAAATGGGCCTTAGTTAATATAGAAGTAAGGGCAGTTAGTTGATTGGTTAAAAGGGTACACTGTTCGTACAAGTTTTGATAGGTTTCTAGTCTGTTGGTGGCTCAGAACCTCGGTGGTGTCAGTGGCGGATCCAGTGGGGGGCAACGGGGCAATTGCCCCCCCGAGATTCTCCCCTGCCGACTAATGCAGGGCTGGCATTGTCCAAGTGCCAGCCCTGCAATGTGCCTGCGGACCGGGGAGAGAGATCAGAGATCTCCCTCCCCGGTCTGCAGGCACATCGCTGACAGCCGGGAGGGAGGGAGAGGAAGGGAGAGAGGACCCGGGAGCTCTTACCTGCAGCTCCTCCGGGTCCTCCTCTCGCGAGCATGGAGCGTTGCCGCGGTTACCATGGCAATGCTCCAAATCTCGCGAGAGTGAACTCTAGCCCTGGAGTGCGGGCTAGAGTTCACCTCAACACTGGGCCACCAGGGATTCCCCACCGGACCACCAGGAATCCTGAAATGTCCCCCCTCCACCCAGTGAAGGTAAGAAGGGAGGGGGGACATCAATATATTTATTTTAATTAAATAAAAAAAAATTAAAAAGCCTCCCTACCCTCCTTCTCCCCCCATACAAACACTGACCCCCATACACACACTACACACACTGCCCCACAAACACTGCCCCCATACACACACTGCCCCAAAAACACTGCCCCCATACACACACTACACACACTGCCCACAAAACTGCCCCCATACACACTGCCCCACAAACACTGCCCCATACACACACTATACACACTGCCCCACAAACACACCTTTATACACACACTACACACTGCCTCCCATACCCGCCCTCAAAACACACGCTACTACACACTGCCCACATCAATATATTTATTTTAATTAAATAAAAAAAAATTAAAAAAGCCTCCCTACCCTCCTTCCCCCCAGCCTGAAACACTGCCCCCATACACACACTACACACTGCCCCACAAACACACACTGTCCCCATACACACACTACACACACACTGACCCATACACACACTACACACACTGCCCCACAAACACTGCCCCATACACACACTACACACACTGCCCCACAAACACTGCCCCACAAACACTGCCCCCATACACACACTCCATACACTGCCCCACAAACACTGCCCCATACAAACATTGCCCCCATACACACACTGCCCCACAAACATTGCCCCCATACACACACTACACACACTGCCCCCATACACACACTGCCTCACAAACACTGCCCCATACACACTACACACACTGCCCCACAAACACTGCTTCCATACACACTACACACAGCCCCACAAACACTGCCCCATACACACTACACACACTGCCCCCCAAACACACACGCCCCCCCCATACACACACACTACACACTGCCCCCACAAACACTACACACACTGCCCCCATATCCACACTACACACACTGCCCCACAAACACTGCCCCCCATACACACACACTACACACACCACCTCACAAACACTGCCCCCCATACACACACTGCCCCACAAACACTGCCCCCATACACACACTACACACACGTTCTTAAACGGTTTGACTACTTACTCTGGGGTGGGATCCTGGCACTACTGGCGCCATAACTACTACACTGAGCTGTAGTGGTTATTGTGCCTGGATTATTTCTTTAAATAATCTACAAGTGCCCCTCCCGAGATCAGGCTCTGGATCCGCCACTGGGTGGTGTAGTGGTATCTGGATATACCCCTACCAGGTGAAATTGATGAATGTTAGCACTTTACATGTTATATTTATATGGTTGTTATATATTGTGAATTATGTTATGTTGTGGGTCATTGCCTTGATTTAAATATGGGAGAGATTATATAATTAAGTTATTATTATTACTTTATTATCATTAAAGCTGTTGACATTTTGACCCATACCCATGAGTGTCGGTGACTTATTGTGTGGGTTGGGTTCAGGTTCATGGATCCCTCCCCTGCCCATATGGCGACTATGCACCTGTCATGGATTTTCATTGGGGGTGTATCTAAACCCAGTTTGCAAAAGCTGCATGTATCTTTCCTACAGCCTTTGCAAGCCCTCTCCTTCTTCTCTAGCCTGGACTTTCTGTGGTTGTTCAATCGGACTTCCCATATCAGTCATTGAGAAGTTTTTGCAGGAAAGGTGCTCTGAGCAATTGCTGCCTCTTGTGTTTAGCTCCAATGAGCTAACCAAACCAGGAAGTAACAGAACCAGTTGTGTGATTGACAGCAGGGGTTATAACAAGTTTAATTTATAAATGTGACAGTTTCTATTGAAATCTGCACTATTTGTAAAATTAAAAAAGAGGACTCACTCTTCACAACAAGCTAAATTGCTTTAGGTATTTGGAGTGTTCCTTAAAGGCAATTATGTTTGCACCATAAATATATATGTACATGTTTGATAAGGTCTTATATTCTTTGATGATTATATAACCATGCTTAGCAGTCATCAAACCTGAGTTACACAAGATAGCTGACCCTGTCATTACAGATACCACAGACACTAACAGACATTGTGGGTTGAAGGCATCTTTTGGCTTTTATCAAATGTAAACATGTCCACCTGTAGACAACAGAGTGAAATTTGACTCTATAAACCCAATTGCTTTTTCACATATTCAAGGTCTAGTTTTTGTGTTTATTGCATGAGCTAAAGCATCTTTGTTTACTGGCCTTAAACACAACAATAAATTCTGTTGCAACCATTGGAAAAATGTGATTGTGAATGAGTTGACATTGGCACTGGTTCTCACGTAGATAATTATCAAGCAGTCTGCTTTCATTACTGACACAAATGTCCACTGTCTATCAGCTTAGTAAAGAATGTATGTATTTTATTTCATGATTATAATATCCATGAATTATACAGCACGACATCCAGCGTTTTCCTGATTTTCCTCATGCTACCATTTGCAATTAAAGGGTACCTTTTACTTAGCATTTTTCCATTGTGCCAAGATGGAACATATCAGATACCTTATGAGATTCCTTGAGTCGGGTGCAATTTGATTTTGAATGTTCATGAGTAGCATGCAACGACAAAATTATTTATACCTATCAGTTTTTAAAAGTTCTGAAAATAAATAACGCAAAGAAAAAAAAATCACATATTTATTCAATCTTATTTTCTTATAAAAATGTACAACATCCCTTTTAATAACAGTAAAAAACAAAAACACAAAACATTAGGTGTTCATCATGGTACAGAAGGAGGATATTCCAAACGGGATGAGTTATATACAAAAGCATTAGTAATAGACCTACAGCATTATAAATGACATGGCTGTTTAACATGGCAGAATTGTACTTTGCAACTACCAGCAGCTTGGCAGGTTGCACTGGTCCACAGTGCGGCCTGAGTGATTCTAAATTTTTAAAGATGAGTTTTAAACTTGCAGCCTTTCCATCATTTAAAGTACAGTACAGAAATTATTTAAATGCTTTTGCCGTCAGACCATATATGGCATATCAGTAAGTGGAATTAACACAGTGATAGAACATAATCACCCGTGTAAGTATATTGACATACTGAAAGGTGTGGGGTCTGGATATTTACTGAATTACTTACTTTGGAATATACATACAATATACATGCATAAATTATGAACAATTTAAACCGTGACTCTAAAAAAGAGCTAACATTTAATTAGTGTAGTGAAGAGTTATAAATAAAGAAATTAGTCATCCAGGAAGTGCAGAATGATTGGGACAAATACATTCTGCAGATCTACAATGTGGTTTTAAACCCATAACAACAAACTGGATAACATAAATCAAAATGACACCTTGTTAAGTGCTGAGGCATAGATTAATGTAAGTGAATATGTTGCTATATTGGACATTTGGGTCAATGGCTGCCTTGTAAGTTTCTGCCCCAAATCAAACTTTTGCTCAAGCACAAGTGAAAAGAAAACCCACAAGCTTTTGCAAAAGTAAACATGTGACCGTAAAAATGAATGGGGACACATAGACAATCTCCAGATTAGAAAGGCTTGAAATGTGTGAGAAAATAATAAACTGGTATGCAAATGTACTGAGACATAAATTAGTGGTAAATGAGGTATGGATATATAGCTGATATAAGAAATATTCCGGGGAACATCTAGGACCTGAATTTGAGTTGACTCTATGACTTTTAGGTTATGGTTATGTAAGACGTATTCATTCCATAGCTATATGATGCCATTTAACTGATAACATCACAAATCTATCACGGCTGCTACATCCCTATGCGATATGTGGCCATTATGTGTATACATGTAGACTATTTGTTTCATATAGGCAAATAACTTCTAAACCATAATAAGAAAAAGTATAAATGTGGAGGTTCAATATGTTATGCTTTTCATTTTTGCTGTTAAATAAAAATTCAGAAGTCACTTCAGAATCTTACAAAACGTGACTGTAAATAAAGCACTTAGTATTTTTGGTATTGGAGTAATTTGGCACATAAACACTAATTCCAGGATTCATTTGATATCTACCATAATGAGGCTGATTTCCCTTACTGTGGCATTTGTTCTTCTGAGTTTGACTTAAGGAAATCATTTGTTCATTGCGCAGACAATAATCGGAAATATACTTTATAACGGCAAGTACACCATAAAATTGACACATTTGGCTTATGTGAGACATTTTCTATACATTCCTTGTATTTATATATATCTTGTACAGCAGTTTTTAGACGACAATTGCCCAGTGAACTATATGTTAAATGTAGCACATATTATTTTGTGATATTAGCTAGAGCTGATCTCATCCTGAATAATAACTTTGTAAAAAAAAAATCTCAATGTTTAAAGAATATTTTTCCCATTGGAAAGCAAATTCTCTTTATTTACAATATATGTTAAGACAGTGTGTTAGATTCCCAGCAAGACCTTTTGAAGGAAGACAACCATGAATTGAAGAAACCAGGAACTCCTTATTTACAACGTTATACTTTTAGTGAAACATTTCCACTCGTCCGGTAATTTTTCCCTTCATGGACATCACTGGAGAAAAGCTTGATGTTCTTTGGGGAAAAAAACCCAATAAAAAATTTAAACAGTTCTCATTTGTTGTAAAAATACAAATAAAAACGCTCAAATAATTTGAAATAAATCCTCTAATGTTCCAAACGCAGAAGAAGAGTCGTTTTTGGATGGAAGACAATTGTAACTATTATAAAAGAAAGGCATCGTCTACATCTTCAAAATGGAACATTTGAGAATCATTTATTTACTATTTAAATGTTATGGACTTGTTTCCTTTATCTTTCTTTGATCTATAATGAAATGTTAATATTTTTTGAAGAACCCACACATCTTCTATGTCCTCACTGACTTTTAGCCACCATTGTCCTTTGACAGGAATAGGTTCTTGAATAGTCTTTGAGCATGTGCACAGTAAGCTGCCTTGTTGGCAATATGCATGGCTAGAAGCCTAGTTTTGGTGTCTCTTCATGTGCAGTGCTAGGTGGTCGGAGCGAGAGAAGCAGCGCCCACAGGCACCACACTTAAAGGGTTTGGCACCTGTGTGTTTGCGGTAGTGCCTTGTCAGCTCATCGGAACGGGCAAAGCGCCAATCACAGCCCTCCCAGGCACATTTATATGGCTTCTCGCCTGCCAGAATAAAGAAATGTTGACAATTAATACAATTACTGTAATTACTCCAACAATAACAATGTTCTGGAATGACTTCACAAAAATAGAAACTAAAACATAACCCTTTCAGCTCTAGAAAACACTATACATTCCCAAGTGTCTCAGCTTCACTTCTGTTTCATGTTTTCATTATCACCATGCTTCCCCTCATTACCCCTAAAGGTGACTCTCACCCTTTCTCTTTTATTTTGCCTCTTTTGTTTCCTAGTTTGTGTTTCATGCCTTCATTTTAACTTTTTTTTTAACTTCATTTTTAATTGGACATTCAAATCATCAGTATCTCATTAATAACAATAGCAATTCAGCATGTTCTGCTCGTGCCTTAAAGGGACACTATAGTCGCCAGAACAACTATAGCTTAATGTAGTTGTTCTGGCGAGTATAGTCTGTCCATGCAGGCCTTTTTATGTAAACACTTTACATTACTGCCAAGGGACACCCCCAGTGGCAGTCACTCAGACAAGAAGAGATGCTAATTGGCCAGTGGCCAAATTTAGCTCTGCCCCCCTGACCCGCCTCTTTGGCTGAGATCATTAGAATTGAACATCTCAGCTAATCCAATGCTTTTCCAATTTTGTTTTGATGATGTCAACCAAGAAGGCGGATTGGGGGCAGGGCCAACGCCGGCAGACACACATGGTGCTAGAAATAAGGTGAGTTTTCACCCTAAGGGGGCAAGAGGCGGCCGGCGAGCTAAATAGTATTTTAACACTTTACCTGACCCAATAGTATTCCTTTAAGATCTCTCCCACTATATATGTTTATTTTGTTAGTTTACTTTATAGGTACAATGACTGGTTCTGCAATCTTTATATTGCAAATTAAGTACAATGTTAAAAAAAAGAAATAAATATTTTAGTGTTGTAATGTGGTAATGGATTAGTATAGAAAATCCCTACATTTTCTTTTTTCAGACTTGGTGTACGTGCAGACTCTTACATACTCATTCTCCTACCACAACTTAAGAAAAACAAATATTTGTGCAGCAAATGCAAGAATTCCCTGAGCCGAGTTGATTTTTTTTTCTCAAGTATTCATCAATTACTGCTAATATTTGAGCAGACACACCCAGTGTAACAATGGCATTTATATGTACTATACATATGTATATATTTAGACACATACAACTATACAGTGTACACTTATATTTAAGCATAC